TCCTCGCTGGAGCTGTGCCCGTCCACTGCGGAGGGGGCAGAGGTCAGGGTGGCCGGGCCCGCCCCGCCCGCAGCGCCGAGCCCCGCCCTGGGCGCCGGCCCCTCACCGTTGTCCTGGATGATCTGTCTGAGGTAGTCGGCCATGAGGTTGCGCAGGGAGCGTTTGTAGGGCAGGCCCAGGCGGTGCGGAAAGAGCACCGCCGTGTCCACCACGGTGCTGTGGATGATCTGGGGCACGGCCGGCGCGTCAGGGACCCCCGGTCCAGCGCCCCAGGACGGTTCCAGAGCAGCGCGCGCCCGTTCGCTAGCAGCACCGCCCCACCTGCCCTCTGACGGGGCGAGCCTGGGGTGGGCCGAGATACCTTCAAGGCCAGCAGGTCGCTCTCCAGGCTGTGTCCGATGAGGATGGTGTCGGCACTAAACATGCTGAGCAGGACAGCCTGGACGTCCCGGAGCGAGATGCTCGTGTCGGCGAGGTCGGCCTCGGTCACCCCTGAAAACCTGGCGACGGAGGGGAAGGGGCTTTAGGGTGGCTACGTACGGCCCGGGAGCTGGGTCAGGGCCAAGGAGACTGGCCCTGGGGGGCACGGGGTCCCAACCCTGGGGTCAGGTTGCACCTCGTGTTGTAGTCAACGATCTCGTTGTCCGGCTTGACAAAGGTGTCGTAGACGACCTGCATGTCGGTGTCCACCACCGTGACACGTGTCAGCTCCAGGCCGTACGTAGTGTAGGACTGCAGGCCGGGAGAACACAGCTCGGACACGGCCCCGGCGGGGGCCCACACCAGACACCCCCATCCCAGTGCTCACAGCCAGGCTGCCCCCGGCCCCCAATCCCCGTGGCAGAGACCTTCCGGGCCTCTCTGGGGGTCGGCGCGGGTGTGAATGGGGGTGCCTTTCCCAAAGCCCGCGCTGTGCTCGTGAACGCCGGGGGCCTCGAGTAAAGCCAGCTGTTTCGAGAGCATGTGGTGTGTGCTGGGGGTCAGGTGACAGCATCTGCTTGGTGACGGGACAAACGCCCTTTGTGAGCAGCTGCTGGCAAGGCTGAATGTGCCTCAGGACCACAGACTGCGTGGCCCGCCCGGAGGGCTCAGCTGTTGTTCACGGCTCTTCATCCGCTCTTTATCTGGCCCAGAGCTCCAGGAAGAGGTGCCGGGACGGCGGGCAGTGGGCCCCACGGAGCACCAAGGCCCCGGCGGCCTGCAGAGTCTATGAGTCCTCGGCCAGCGCCGCGGTCATGGCCGGCCAACTCACCATCTCACAGTCAAGGGCGTAGATTCCAGGGTGAGCGTCTTCCGGAAGCTCCTTATCAAAGGTCTTCACGAACCCCTCCAAGTTTTCCTTGCGTCCATCCTGCACGTGTTGCTGAGGGCGGGGACGGGAAGGAAGGTGAGGGTGACAGGCTCAGAGGGAGAGGCAAGGCGGGGGCCTCGGGCAAAGCTGATGAGGCTGGGCTCACAGGGCCAGGCCGGTGCTGAGGGCTTTCGTGGACCCAAGTCCCCTTTCTAAGGCAGACAAACCAAAGGACAGGAATAGGGTGGCTCAGGGGCCCAGCTCTAGCCAAGACAAGGGAGGGGGCTTCCCAGGACAAGGGGCATCGAGCAAGGCCCAGGAGACACACCTTGGCAACCTGACAACCAGCGGCGCCGATGGCAGCCGAACAGCACATGTACTGAGTCTCCCAGCCGCCAGCCGCTGAAAGGGAGACAGTGTCAGGGGCTGTGTCCCCACGCCTCCTGCAGGTAGCTGCTGACACCCGCTTTGCCCGGGCTGGCGGAGGCTTCCCAGCAAGGGGGCCCTAGCCCTGGGTTTAAGGGCGAACCCCATGAGCTGAGGATTCCAGTCTCCTTCCGGGATCTGGGACAGGTGCGACCCCGACCCCACGTGGGCTCTCCCCGGGGTAGCAGTGGGGACACATGCAGGTGTGGGTCCCACAGGGGCCTGCCTGCGGGGACGCTGTGCCCCGGGGACCCCTCCGCATGCCCCCAGAGCTGGGTCTGCAGCCACGGGCGCTCCGGGAGACTGGTGAACACCCAGCCATGCTGGCCACTAAGTGACACCAGCAGCTGCAGGACAAGGAGAGCCGTTTGCTCCCTGGCGCCTGCGTGTCCCTACGAGACTTATGCGCGGGTGGAGGCAAGGGGGCGACAGGTGGCGGGAGGCCCTCCTGTCATCTGCCTCTGAACACTATGACGCGAAGGTTTTTGTGTCACCTTTGTCAGAAAATATAATAAAGGGAAAGGAAATTAGGGAGTGTGGGGGCGGGGGCCGGGGGGCAGGGGTGCATGGGGTCTCACCTCGGTTCCGGCGGGGCCGCCCCCAGTGGTAGTGACACTCCTCGTCGCGCACGCAGCGGCCCGAGGGAGACACGAGGTACTCCGTGCCACAGCGGCAGCAGACCCTGCAGGAGGCTATGGGGTGGGCACAGTGGGTGGGGGGCCAAGGCGTCAGGCCTGTCTGCACAGCCCGCCTGTGCTGTCCCCTCTCCCAGGCAGCCTTCCCCTCCTACCCTCTGCCGAGCATGGGTGGCGGGAGGCCACTTACAATCTTTGGGAGGCTTGTCCTCGGCCGTGAAGATGACGGCGCCGCCCGGCCGCCCGGGGTGCGGGAAGGGGTAGCCATTCTCTTTGAGCTGGTCCTCGGTGAGCAAGTAGTCCCTGAGGCGTCCATACAGGGCCGCCCCTGGGGACAGCCAGGACAGGCAGTGAGCCCACGGTGAGGCTGGCCACGCGGCGGGCAATGGGCGTTTGAAAGGGGCCAGGGAGGGTGGGAGAGCGCCCAGTGGCCCTGCTGTGTCACAGACCAGGCTCACCTTTCAGGTCCTCCACCCGCGGGCTGGTCGGGCGGCTGATAGAGAAGCTGGTCTTGGCGGCCAACTTGCCCCCCAGCACCACCTCATGGGACACGACCCTGCGGCCACCGCTTTCTGGAAGGGGGAGGGGACGCGTAAACCAGGCTCAGACCCCCTCAGCTTTCCCTGGTGCTCCCCCACCTCCTCGGGGCGCTCCCAAGACAGCCCCCCCACCACCCGGAGGCAAGGTGGTCTGACCTCATGTGACTCTGGGCAGCCACCCCCAACCCTAACTCAGGACCCACAGGCCTCGGGCTGCCTGGAAGCCCCTCCCCCCCCAAGCGGGGTTCTGAGGAAGAATTTAACTCGAGCTCTGAGGCCTTCTCGCAGAGCTCTGAGGCCTTCTCGCCAGGAGTGGTGGGCGGGCCGGACCGAGAGCAGCATGCGAAGCGCCTGCTGTCAGCTTAATGCACCTCGAGGGCCACCGCGTCCTCGGGGTTAATGCGCAGAGCGGGCAGGCGCCTTGCGCTTTGAAGAGGCCGCCCATTAGTGGGCAGGCGGCCCCTCGCTGGAGAGACCCTGGCTCTCAGCTCTCTCTCTCAGGAGGGTGGGGAGGTGGTTAAGAGTGACAGGCTGTTCCGAGGGCACAGGGCGACAGCCAGCTTAGCAGCTTAGATAGAGCCTGACAGCCGGGGGCCTTTTGTCTGAGGATCTCAGTGCTCAGAGTGGCAGGAAGGCCGCCAGGAGGGCCCCGGGGCCGCCTGCGCCTGCCCGACTTACTGCTGAGGCCCGGAACGCTGCTCGGGCCCAGGCCCCGCAGCTTCTTGAGCGTGTTCACAGCCAGGTTCAGGTAGATGTTCTTGCTGGGGCTGCGGTCATAGGCCGCCTTCTCCTCGTTCAGCGCCTGGGCACGACACGCGCTCAGCCTGCAGCCCTGGACCCCAAGGGACGGCCCCAGCCCCTCCGCCCCCGCCTGGCCCCACACCCCCGGCGCCTGCTCGGCTCACACACCTTCTCTATGGCTTCTTGGTTGGAGGGACAGAACTTGAGACACTCCTCAATAAACAGGTTGAGATAGCGTTGGCGGATGACGGTGGGGACTTTGCCCCCAAACTCTTTTGGGATAACGGGCTTCTTTAAACTCTGGAGGGGACACAGAAACGGCAGAGGGTGACACGCCCCTGCCTGGATCTGACACTTCTCGGACCCCCAGAATATCCGCACACAGGGTGGAGCCTACTGGACACTGGGCCTCGGCACAGCGCTGTGCCCCTGCACTCGGTGCTTCTCCAAACTAACACACCTCTGAGAGGGGAGGGTGGCGAGTTCGAAGGCAACGGCCGAGGGGCAGGAGAGGGAGAGCGGGCTGTGCCACCAGCGTCGTGAGCACCCGGGCTCCCGGGGGGTGCTCACCTGTAACGAGGGGCTGTGCGCCACACGCTTGGGGGTGACGGTGCTGGTGGTCTTGGACGCCATGCCCGACAGCGTTCGCGTCTTCAGGGGCTGGCTGCCTGGCTCGAGGCCATTGGGAGGCTGGCTGCTGCTGGCTGCGAGGGTTCTCTTGGCGCCTGTGGGGGCTGGCGAGGGACAGGGGACGTGAGTACAGGAGGACAGCGCACCCATCACCGAGCTGCAGAGCACCAGGCAGCCGCGGTCACTCAGCGTCAGCAGCACGTGCATGCCGGAGCACAGGGGGAAGGGCCGGGGCCGGGCGCGCGGGCCGTGGGACGACATCAGGCTCTAGCTGCTTCGGGGAAGTCCATCGAGAGGGGGGCGCGACGGGGCTGAGGAGGCCGGAGGGGTGGTCCGGCGAGTGGCAAGGGGCGTGGGGAGCCTCTGCCACATGTTCCGGCCCCCAACTCCGAGGCATAGACGTCTGAGGGAGGAAAGGCCCTGGCTCCTGGGCTGGGGACCAGAGGGTCTGGGATGCCCTGGCCTGGTCATTGTGACCAGCTGGCCCGCCTGCCGCTGCCTGTGTTCTGCCTCTCCCTTTGATGAGGTCACAAACCAGACAGTCTCCCACCCCAGGGAGGAGGGTGCCCGCCTGCGGGGCTGTTTCCGAGGACTCACGGTGGGGTGGTGGGAATGTGCACCCCGAGTACGTGTGCAGGGTTCCGACCGGCTGAGCCTGGGCTCGGCCCTGACGAAGGGACAGGCGCAGATGGACGAGGAGAGCGAGGCACAGAGTGGAGGGCGCAGGCCCCACCCTGGGAGTCCTGCATCGGGGCTCACGCAGGCCATGCAGGGAGCAGGGAGCTGCTGGCCAGCTGAACGTGCGCTCAGCGGAAGGACAGCGTCTACGCTCCCTACGCTCCCTATACTCCCGCAGTTCAAGTGCGCGGCACCGGGCAGGACCCCGGAGGTCCAGAGAACCGGCAGCGGCTGGGAGCCCGGCCAAGTACAGGGGTCAGGCTTTGAGCTCGGACATGTCTCAGGTGTGCACAGCTCACAGGCATCTCCCTTCCCTGGGCTAAAACACAGCCTCAAAGCCACACCTGCCTGTCACCGTCATGATCTACCTCGGGCGCTCTGGGGAGGGAGGGAGGGCCCAGAGTCTGGAGATGCCAGGGGAAGCCCGGGGAGGGCTGTGGGGCCCGCTCGCCCCCTCAGCCGGCTACTCGAGGGAGTGTCTGAGCAGCAGCAGGGGCACCCCAGAACGGGGCAGACCTTGGGCTGGGGAGGCTGAGCCTGTGTCTTGAAGAGGCCTCCGGGCACCACCGGGGAGACATCCAAGTGTGGGCCTAACTCTCAGACAAGGCCCAGAGGGAACAAGTGCCCCTCAGAGCAGGACGAGGAGCCAGCAGAGCCCTGGCCCCTCTCCCAGGTCAGCTGGCCCGGTTCAGTAGGCCTGAGCCTGGGGCCTCAGCCCCTCAGCCCCTCAGCCCCGCAGCCCCCCTCAAGCTGGCTCCCCTCCCCAGCACCACCGTCTGGAGCCCAGTGCGCACGCTCAGACCAGCCCCGGCCAGGCCACCAGCCTCCAACGCCCCAGGAACCTGGGGGAGGCAGGGACACAAAGACCAGGAAGGGACAGAGTGGGAGGGCCACAGGGCGACCTCAGGGTCAGGGCCTTAGAGGAAGGCGGGAGGACAGTACGGAACAGACTCGGTCTGGCAGACAGGCAGCCCTCAGGGTCTCCATAGCCAGACCCCACCAAAGTCGCTGGGACTGCGCCAGGCCTGCCCTCACCTCCCACTAACTGTTGGGGACACTTGATCCCATTTCACAGACACACGCACTGAGACCCAGCTGGGCCCTGCCCGAGGCCCCCAGCGCTGGCACAGTGGGAGCCTGGCCACCCGGGGCCCCCGCGCTAGGACTCACCTGCAGCCAGGCGAGGGTTGGGGACGTGGGCTGTCCTCCTTTTCTCACCGGGGGCTGAGAGGTGGACAGAGGACGGCTTCTCAGCCGGCCGCTGGGCAGCCTGCAGCCAGCCGGCTGACTCCCTCTGCGCCTGCTGAGCCCGCCGGTAGCACACCTCCTGGGCCGTGGGCGGCCGGGCGGGGGGCACCGGGACTCTTCTCCCGGGCTCCGGCTGGGTGGAGAGAAATCCCAGGGCCTAGCCATATGTCGGGGCGGCAGGCAAAGGGGAGGACTACGGGCTGGGCGGGACGCCCCGGCTCCACTGCGGGAGTGCGCAGATGCCGTGGCGGGGACCAGGTCAGCACAGTGGCCCTCAAACGCACGTTGCCCACTGTGTGGTGCCAGCATGGCCCCGCTCTCCCGACCTCCAGCTTCTAAGAGCCCAGACCGTGCCCTGAGCCGATATGGGCGGGGCGGGCAGGAACCCTTGCCTTGACTACCCTGCCTGGTCCATCCTGCTTGACCTCACCTGCTCTGGACGGCCTTCCAGAACCCAAGCTCCCCTCTGGGACTGAATCATCAGGAGCTGCCAGGGTCGGAGCCTGGGGCTCGTCCTCCACCCAGCCGGTGCTCCCTGTGCCAAGTCAATGACCGTCCCACCCTGACCCGCAGCCTGCAGCCGCTCCTGTCTCCCGGCCATGGGAGGAGCTGAGGCTCACAGAGGCCTGGCCACTTGCCTAAGGTCACATGGGCGCAGCTCGGGGGAGAGAGACGGGGCAGTGTGATCTGGGGGAGGGCTCACCCGCATCCCCGTCTCCCGGCTCTGGGCCCCGCCCCTGCCAGGACTGGCCATGGTTCCCAGAGAGTCCTCTGCCAGGACACGGAGTGCTGGACCCGCTCTGCCAAAGGAACCCCTCACCCTTGTCCCACGAACTGGGGCCCCCGCGGCCTCACCTCCTTGCCGTGCCTGGAGAGGTGCGACACCCTCCTCCTCTGCCCGGGAAACAGAGTGCTCAGGCCCGACGGCTCCCGATCCTCGACCTTCTCTTTCTTGGGGGGCTGGAACACACGTGTGTCCTTCAACGAGGCCCCTCCCCAAGCCTTGCCACCCACACCAACAGTCGACAGATACCCGGGCTGGATGGAGTGGGTGAGGAGGGCGGCTGGAGGCACCAGGTGGCGTGGTGGGTCCTCACCTCCGCCCCGGAGGCACAGCCCGCCCCCCAGGCCCGCTGAGGCCTGAGCCCACCTCCCAGGCCTCGCAGGCGTGACTTCTGCAGACACTCGCCTGCCCTCCGGATCACCCGCCCGCCTGCCCGCCTGCCCCAGGCAGGGCTCAGAAGCGAGGGGGGAATGAAGGGGATGAATCCAGACGGCAGTGCCTCCAAGGCCGGGCCACGGTGCCGGCCGGACCCTGTGGCCCCTGCACAGGAGCTGCAGGTGTCCGAGGTTCTGGTGTGGGGAAAGGCCTGTCCTGTTTAAAGCAAGCTCCCTCTGGTGGCCAGTATGGGGACACGCGACAAGGAGATGCAGACAGAGTGGGGCTAGCAGAGGTTTGGCGGGGAGGCCTGAGGAGGAAGGGGAGGAGCAGGAACCAGTGAAGGGAAAAAGAGTAAAGGAAAAAGGGAAGAGGAAGACAGAGGAGACAGGTAGAAGGAGGAGAGGGCGGTGAAAGGAGGGGGGAGGGTCTGCAGGAAGAGGGGCT